GGATTCATCGCCCCCGCCGCCCGCCGGCGTCGGATCCGTCGCCACGCCGCCCGCCGTCGTCGCCGGCACCGGATCCATCACTCACGCCGCCCGCCATCGTCGCCGGCACTAGATCCGTCTCCCCATCACTCGCTCCCGCCGACCGCCGCCGCGTGCCACTGCGTGCCGCCCTCGGCCGCCGCCGCGTGCCGCCGCCTCGCGCCGTGCTGCCCTCGGCTGCCGCCCCCGCGTGCCTCCTTGCCGCCGCCGCCTCGCGCCGCGCCGCCCTCGGCCGCCGCCACCGCGTGCCTCCTCGGTGTCGCCGACGCCCGCCCGTCTTGCTGTGTGTGAGGGGGAGAGAGAGAGAGGGGGGGAGGGAGTTGAGGAGAAGTAATGGTGGAGAGGAGATAAGAGAAGATAAGGTTGGAGATAAGGTTGCTGAAATTTTGAAGTGGTGGAGAGGGAGAGGAGGCAAATCAGACTTCTAGATAAAAATGAACATTAAATCTAATTTTGTGGTATTAAATGAACTAATGTGAAAAGGTTCTCAAAAACAAAGTTGTAGAGATCATTGAGATCTACCAATTTTCTTTTGGTCATTTCTCCATCCAAGTTTGATTGAGCTATATAAAATTTGAATTTTAAAATATAAGAAATTCAAATAATATTTTGAATCAATAAATGATTTCAAATGGAAAAGTTGTGAACAACAAAGTTGTATAACTTATCAAGATCTATAACTTTTGTTTTGGTCATTTTTCTATATGACTTTGTTTGAATAATTTGAATTTGAATTTAAAATTATAACAACTTCAAACAGCATTTTAAAATACTAATTGATTTCAACTGAAAAAGTCATCAATAACAAAGTTGTATAAATCATCAAGATCTATAACTTTTATTTTGGTCATTTCTTCATCCGACAAAGTTATTTGTAAGATTGTTCACAAAATGTACATATATCTTATATAGTTTATAAAACTATAAGAGATATGTACATTTTGTGATCAATCTTATAAAAATCTTTGTCGGATGAAGAAATGACCAAAATAGAAGTTATATATCTTGATGTGTTATACAACTTTGTTGTTGATGACTTTTTCAGCTGAAATCAATTACTGCTTCAAAATATTATTTGAAGTTTTGAAATTCAAAGTTTTAATTGATAAAATAAAGTCACAAGAAAAAATGGCCAAAATAATAGCAGTAAGAACACAATAACATGATAGAGGATGATTTTAGAAACATTTAGAAAAAAGAATCATCTAATTTGGAGTGCATATGAGTGAGATACACTAGTTTCAAATTTTTCAAATTTTATTTTTGCATACGCCTCCTTAAGTGGCCCGTATGGAAAAATCGATTTTTCCATACAGGCCACTTAAGGGGCCACATGCAAAAATGACCCTCGATTTTTGCAGACGCCACTAGTTATGGTCCGTTTGCAAAAATCAAGGAGCCTCGTATAGAAAAATCACTTTTGTAGTAGTGAGAGTAATAAAAAATGTAAAGTTCTTAGGATATAAAATATATTGTCAGAGAACCTTCGGAAATACTAGTTTTATAGTTTTGTCAACACTATACGTCTATACGTACGGAGGAGTACGTAGTGCTATAGTATTAAGACGAAGTTATGAAAAAAAATAAATACATGTGCTATTAGTATATTAGTCGATGAGGCAAGTTTGTGGAGAAGAAAGAAACTGTCAAACTGAGGAAGCCAATGACGTCGTTCCTTGGATTTCGTCGGTCGATCGAAGCTCGAACATGGGCAGAGGGTGCCGGCGGGTGGCCAGCCCTTTGACTGGCGAAAGCATGTGTGAAGTCAAAGCCAACGACCCCATGCCACCATGCCAATAGGAGAGTAGGAAAACGCAAATAGCGGTGCACCCTTGTGCGAGGTTGTACTCAACTGCTCACTGCACACGTCAGGTTCGTCCGCTACGATTTGCGGTGCGATCTGCGATCATGCGAAAGTAACTGGAAGGTAGTTTGGGCTGGGCTGTGAGGCTGTCTTCAGAATGGAACAAGTTCACTTTGTGACCCTCAAAAGTTATCGAAATCTAATCCGTGACCCTATACCACAAAACCGGATATCTCGACCCCCAAACTCTTAAAACCGGTGCAATTTGACTCCCTATGCGGTTTTGGAGAGCGGTTTTGCTGACGTGGCGCCTACGTGGCGGTATTGACCGGGTCTCCTTTACACGTGGCGTTTAGGTGGCATTTAGAACTTAAAAAAAATATGCGTGGGACCTATTTGTTATTGACACAAAAGAAATTGTGGGACCCACGTGTCCCTTCTCTCTCTCCCCTCCCTCCAGTTCCTTCTCCCTCCTCACCGCTCCCTCTCTCTCTCCCGCGGCGAGCGGCGAAGACTTAGGAGTGACGGCGGCATGCACTGGAGCGGCGGCGGCGGCGGCGCCGGGCTGAGCTCCACGGTCTCCTCGCCAGGGTTCACTATATCGGTTTAGTGGTTTTGATGGGGGGTCACTTAAATCCCAAAATTTCGGAAATTTCGGTCCAAAATTTTGAACAAAATTTAGTTGAATTTGAACAAATATTACCCAAATTCATTAAAAAAATTCAAAAATTCAAAAATTTCGGCCGAATTAATATCGTTTCGGAGGGGACCGACCGAAATTTCTGAAATATTTCCAACCCTGCTCCTCGCTGACGGCGTCCCACACGCGGCGAGCGGCGAAGGCGCGGGTGTGGTGCGGCGGCCTACGAGCGGCGGAGATGCGGGAGTAGCGGCGGCAGGCACTGAAGCGGCGACGGCTGTGGGCGGCAACAGGCGACGGCAGCAAGGGAGCTGGGTCACGACGAAAAGCCGCGCACCGCCGTTGGCCGTGGTGTCTAGTAGCGCCCCCACGCGACGGGATAGCCCCATCTCCCTCGATGGTCGCCGGAATCGTACTCAGGGCACGCAGTCGCACCTCGTCGCCGCAAAGGTTCAATCCGCGTAGCTCGAGCGGTAGCGGCAGCGGCGGCGGGCGGGAGCGGGGGCGGAGGTGGGCGGTAGCCTCGTGTCCCGGACGATGCCAACCCGCTGCGCACACCCATCTTCGGCACATACAATATCTCCTCGTCACTTTCCATCCCTGTCGAACAGAACCATCACGATCTCAAGCTGCTCAATTCAGCAACAAGCAAACAAATTGGCACGCATATGTGCATATGCACATATCAAGAAGCACCACAACTCCCCCGCCGCCACCACCATGAAAAAGAAATGGATGAGAGGGAGGACCCACGTCGAGCAGCGAGCAGTAAGGACCCCATCTCCGCCTCACCCTCCTGCTCATGGCCATCGTCGCGGCACTGATGCGGCCGCCGGTCTCAAGGGTGACCCTTACGCGGTTGGAGTCAATGCCGTCATGGAGTTCCCCGGCAACCCGTGGTACAGTCCCGACCGCGTCATCTACCTCCGCCTGCTCTCCGGTGAGTTCCCCGGCTACTACGGCTGAGATACCGCCGAACCCTCCACCGACCCGGAGGTGTTTGCGAAGAACCACGAGCAGAAGGTAATTCCAACGCCCTCCCGCCCGCCGCCGCCCCCGGATGAACCCGACCGCGGCGAGAGAAGGAAGAGAGAGAGGGAGGAGGAAGAAGGGGAGAGGATGATTGTGGGCTCCACATGTATGTGGGTCCCACAATTTCTTTTATGTGTCGATGACAAATGAGTCCCACACATATTTTTTAAGTTATAAATGCCACCTAAATGCCACGTCAACGCCACGTGTAAAGGAGACCCAGTCAATACCGCCACGTAGTCGCCACGTCAGCAAAACCGCCCTCCAAAACCGCTTAAGGAGTCAAATTACACCGGTTTTAAGAGTTCGGGGGTTGAGATATCTGGTTTTGTGATCTAGAGCCATGGATTAGATTTCGATCACTTTTAGGTCACAAAGTGAACTTATTCCCTTCAGAATTCACGCAAAATCATGTTGGAAGTTCAGGCTTCTGGGCCTCAGGTTATCCTTGCCTTCAAAGATCAACGGGACTGCTGTGATCATCCCATACGTGGCCGTGGCGGCCTGCATCCCCGTCCTCTCTCCGGTCGTCGCTTTGGCGTCACCTGTCCTGGTCTCCTAGATGACGGCCTGACATGCGGTGGGTACTCTCTACAATCTGGTTTAGCCGGCTTATCAAAGTGAGCAAATCACTCTTGTGCTGCTCTTTAGCCTTTACGCTTACTTTACTCGTAAATAAGCCCAATTCCAAGACGCCGGCCGTCAACCTTCTCCACGCCAGTCGCCACCACTACGCCGGCATAAGAGCAGGTACAATAGGCGTCCGATTGCTGGCGATAGCGATTCCACGTAGGTTTGATGATGCGTTGGAGGAGAGAGAGTGCGTTAGCGGGCGACTAATTAGTCGCCAAGCGGCACGCGCGCTCCAAGAAATTGTGGGCCCAGCAGGTAGCATACACGAGCTGCGAGATGAGTCGGTTGATGCAGCGTCGCAAGTTTGCAACCATGAGTCCACGACTCACCCGCCGGCCGCCGGGGAGCTCGTCCGATGGTGATTGATGTTGTCGAGCTGGGGTCGCCGTCATCAACTGTATGGAGCTAGGTTGCCGATGGTTCACCGCGGTCGGCGACGCTTGTGGCCACCGTGCTCGAGGTTGGTTCCTCACTTAGATCTGGTAAGCACCTCTTGAATCCAGCTAGTATCTAGCAGTGGTATGCACGGGCTCATGCCATGGCGATGGAAGCGAGGTTTGAGAGGGCATGACCATGGTCCACGGCCAGCAATGGTAAAAGGCCTTCTTGCCGGCCCTACCAGCCGAGATCGGCTTGTTCTCATGTTGAACGGCAGCTCCTTCCAGCGGCAACGATACGTGATTTTATTCATCACACAACTCATTCGTGGTCTTGCTTGTTTCGATTTGATTTTTTAGACATCAAGTTTTGATCTTTTGATCTTAGATTGATATGATTTCTTGTGTTGTCTTGGACAGGCTGGTGGAGAAGAAGAACAAAGAGAGAGATATGTGGGCCCACGTGGAATAAAATAAATGTGTGATGCGTCAGATTATAGCCCACTTACTGTATCATCTGCCTCTTGAGCTTGATAAAAATGACGTGGAACAAATTGGAGTAATCAATGGGCTATACTATTAAACTTGCTCTAAACAAATCCACCTGAATGGTACTACCTGATAGCGACACGTTTGGCCTTCACGCGCCAGTGCGCCACTGCTCTGTCTACACGGCGCTTTCTCAAGATCAGATATGCACAAATCCACCTGACAGCAACACGTTTGGCCTGACCGCGGCGCCGAGCGTCCGTCCGTCTGCACGCCGGAGGAGAAGACACACGGCGATGAGCTCCTGCGAGGCGAGGCGGGCGCACGCGGTGCTCATCCCGCAGCCGGCGCAGGGCCACGTCACGCCCATGCTGCACCTCGCCAAGGCGCTGCACGCCAGGGGGTTCTTCGTCACCTACGTCAACTCCGAGTACAACCACCGCCGCCTGCTCCGGTCCAGCGGCCCTGGCGCGCTGGCCGGCGCCGCGGGCTTCCGTTTCGAGGCCGTGCCGGACGGCATGCCGGAGTCCGGCAACGACGACGTCACGCAGGACATCGCCGCGCTCTGCGTGTCCACCACCAGGCACAGCGCCGAGCCGTTCAGGGAGCTGTTGGTGAGGCTGAACAGCACGCCCGGGACGCCGCCGGTGAGCTGCGTCATAGCCGACGGCGTGATGAGCTTCGCGCAGAGGGTCGCCGAGGAGATGGGCATCCTGGCCTTGGTGTTCTGGACTACGAGCGCTTGCGGCTTCATGGGTTACCTCCACTTCGCCGAGCTCATCAGACGAGGCTATGTGCCACTCAAAGGTACAAAACTTTTGATGACTATTACCACTTCACCTATGCTTGATGCAGCTGAGATTTTCCCTTGCTTAAGTAAGTTCATATCGGAAGTCAAATGGTCGCAACACTGATTAGCAATTAGACGATCCTTCCTTGAATAATTAGTGATGAGTGAGTAGTAACTATTTAGACTAGTTGACTTAGTTACTGTACGTTTTCCAGACGAGAGTGACCTGACGAACGGATACCTGGACACTCCGATCGACTGGATCCCCGGGATGCGAGGCATCCGTCTCAAGGACGTGCCAAGTTTCATCAGAACGACCGATCCGGACGACGTCATGCTCAATTTCGACGGCGGCGAGGCTCAGAACGCGCGCAAGGCCCGGGGGCTCATCCTCAACACGTACGACGCGCTGGAGCAAGACGTCGTCGACGCGCTGCGCCGCGAGTTCCCGCGTGTGTACACCGTCGGCCCGCTCCCGGCGTTCGCCAAGGCCGCCGCCGGCGAGGTGGGCGCGATCGGCGGCAACCTCTGGAAGGAGGACACGGGCTGCCTCCGGTGGCTGGACGCCCAGCAGCCTGGCTCCGTCGTGTACGTCAACTTCGGCAGCATCACCGTCATGTCGCCGGCTCATCTGGCCGAGTTCGCGTGGGGCCTAGCTTGCTGCGGCCGGCCGTTCTTGTGGGTCATCAGGCCGGACCTCGTCTCCGGCGAGAAGGCCATGCTGCCGGAGGAGTTCGTCGGCGAGACCAAAGAGAGGGGCGTTCTGGCGAGTTGGTGCCCGCAAGAGCTCGTCCTCTCGCACCCGTCCGTCGGCCTGTTCCTGACGCACTGCGGGTGGAACTCGACGCTGGAGAGCATATGCGCCGGCGTTCCGATGATCTGCTGGCCGTTCTTCGCCGAGCAGCCGACGAACTGCCGGTACGTGTGCGACAAGTGGGGGGTTGGGATGGAGATCGACAGCAACGTGAGCAGAACGGAGGTGGCGCGGCTCGTGCGCGAGGCGATGGAGGGGGAGAGAGGCAAGGCCATGCGAGTGAACGCCATGGTGTGGAAGGAGAAAGCCAAGGAGGCGACAGAGGAAGGAGGTTCGTCGAGCAGAAATCTGGACCGTCTGATCGAATTCTTGCATTCTTCTGGGAGTGACGCTCGCTGAGTTCATATTATCATATCACAAATTATCTTGTGCGTGCTTTCCGCTCATCTAGTGGCACTGAGAAATGCAGTGCAAATAATTGGTCAGTCAAAATTCCTGTTCGTGTCAGAGTATAACATGGAAGGATACGGAGTTTGCTAGCACAAAACAACTGTGCTGCTGGATGGCGACTTGATCACCAGCTCAATTTCTCCGGGATTCTAGATCGCAAAATGACGGAAAGGGATTCTAGATAGTAGATTCGTCTCGCGGCCCGTGCAGCCGTGCGCTCTAATCAGCCGGCGCTAGCACACTACGCGTCAGCCAAATCTGACGTGGAGGAGTAAAAAGGAAAGAAAAAGGATGGAGTGAGTGTTCCATCTATCGTCCGACTGAAGCGCAATACACGAGAAAAGGCTGCTTTCTTCCAACCAGATACGAGGAGATGAGGTGTATATGCGAATATTAAATATCTAAATCTTCAATAGAGGTAAACAAACAGCTAATCTAACAGCCAGCCTATTATATTAGTGATGGCTATAGGTGACATGGTACTATTATAGAGCCGGCAGCTAGCTATATTATTATCCTTGCTCCGGGTGATCTCCGATACTCGGCCACTACACCAGTGGATACGCACGAGCAGCTAGCAGTGACAGTTTCGACGCACGCGGCTGTGGTAGCGAAGGAACGGCTCGGCCGCTTGGATGGCTACACACACCTGGTGCGGATGCGTACATGCACGGACATCACGGGCTTCTACAGAAAAAGTTACTTTCAAAATTATGAAAAATCCAGCACGTTCCACCCTGGCTGCTATCAACCGGGAGGCTTCGATGATGGAGCGGTGATTGGTTGTTCTTCACTTGTTCTGGGCTTATCCAGCGGAAATTGGTTGATTGCGAACTTCGTGGACTTTAACCAAACTCCATATAAAAGATTCCCTCCGTGGTATACCGTCAGGATAATACAGGTGCATTTTGTATATCTGTTTATCTTTTCTTTCTTTATGTAGGTAAATTGCATCGGTGTATACAAAATTGTCGTATGAATGCAACCTAGTGTACGAACTTGTAAAATACTTGTTTTGGTGTATGAACTTGTAAAAGGCTAAAGGTCACTAGATGAATAATCTTGTTAATTCTAAGTGCTGATGTATGAGAAGGTTGCTATTCAGACATATATCTATTCAACAAAAAGATAGAACGAGACATAATGATTGCAAATAAAGATATGAAAATCAAGCAATGATAAGGGTTAGAATTCTTTCAGTGCATGATGTTGGCAACATCTGGGAATTATTTGGAATCCAAACTTGGAATACTTTCAGATGATTAGTATCGCAAGATCTCGTTTTGGCAGGAAAGGCTTTTTGGAAATCATCTTCATTGCTTTATGGCATATTTGTAAGCAATGAAATAGGAAAATATTTTAGAATGTTACTCCGGAGGGGGACGAAAGAACCGAGGGAATTTGGGGAGATGAAAGGTCCGAGGCTGCTGGAAGGTTGGGGAATTTTTCGGCAAACGGACTTGAAATAGATCCCAAAACCCATTTAAATAGGCGTACTACCTGGCGGTTCGTATTCCAAGGAAGGAGAGACATTGCCGCCGAAAAACCCTAAGGCCCGTTAAGGGTGGTTGTTCAGACTTCAATTCAAATTCATATTTGAGCCGTTGGACTTCCCTTAGCGTTGTCAATAGCTTCTCGTCTTCTTGGCTCCGCACCAAGAACAATCAAGTAAGAATGACAAGCCGCTAGCGAGAGAAGTCGTGGATGACAACATGAATTCATTTGAGTTGAAGTCGGGGGCTATTGTCAGGGTTACGGATAAGGCATACCTTCTATCCTACAATTTATGGAATATATCGATAAGGTATACCTTCATGTACACGAATCGTTCTCGTGAATATTGTTTGGAATCCATCGCAAATTATAGAAAATATCTCTACGAGTCAAGTGATTTCCAAAGTCCTACTCGGAAGGGATGGAGTTTCTGTTATACCATACCAGATCCAATATCCTCAAACCTTTCTTGGGGATCAAGGCGATCTACGGTATAAAAGGGACCCCCAGGAAGGGGTGAAAGGCATCCAATTCTATCGCCAACACACCCACCATAGTTTACGAAGCCGGAGTACGTGGAGCCAACTCACCGAGAGATCTCATCGAATCCATCGATTACGATCTCGTCAGTACCATATATTTCGACTACTCTCTTTATAATCTATTCTTATCACCATCAATTCCATATAAACTGGACTAGAGCTATTACCTGACAAGGGGCCTGAACCTGTATAATCTTTGTCTTTTGTTTGCTTGATATCGTACTACGTGGACCCTCATTCCAACGTACCCTAATACTCTACTCATCCGGTCTACGAGTATCACTCATCGACAGGTTAGAAATAAATGAAATTCTTTATTTCAATGATGAATGATAAAGTAGAGAGTAAATTTATAAATATAGTACTCCCTCCATTTCATATTACAAGTCGTTTTGACTTTTTTTTCTAATAAAATTTCTTTTATGTTTGATAAAGTTTATAGAAAAAAATATAGTAGCATTTTTAACACAAAACGAACATATTATCAAAATATATTTAATGCTAGATTTAATGAATGTAATTTCGTGTTTAAAATGTTGCTAGTTTTTTCTATAAATTTAGCCAAACTTAACAAAATTTGACTAGAAAAAAATCAAAGCGACTTATAATATGAAACAGAAGAGTGGATATCTTATACATACTAACTACATGAATGAATGTCACGCTTTGGTAAAATTAACTTTACAAAGCTATTTTAGTCTTGTTTTGCATGAACTAGATAAGTTCGTGCATAAATAGCATTTCAGAAGTTCATCTACAAATTACACCCAACTAACGCACATCATTTGTATACCACCAATATAATTTTCTCCTTTTATTTTAGGAAAATTTTAAGCTCAGAATCGGGAGTAATAGATGATCGTGAAGGGGATCAACTATTGCACATTAACTGCCGCCTCTAACATTTAATCCCGGAGTACCGACTGCTAGTTACTCCTATAATTGTTACTACGTACTCTACTTTGGTATCAATCGTATCGCTTGCCATGGGCTCAAACTCGCGCCTGCACGCCGTGCTCATCCCGTACCCGGCGCAGGGCCACGTCACGCCCCTCCTGCACCTCGCCAAGGTGCTCCACTCCAGGGGGTTCCACGTCACCTTCGTCAACTCCGAGTACAACCACCACCGCCTCCTCCGTTCCCGCGGCACCGGCGCGCTGGCCGGCCTCGACGACTTCCGGTTCGAGACCATCCCGGACGGCCTGCCGCCGCCGTCCGAATCCGACAACGACGACGTCACGCAGGACATCCCCACGGTCTGCACGTCCTTCCTCACGCACGGCCCCGCGGCGTTCGGGGCCCTCCTGGCGCGGCTCAACAGCGAGCCCGGGACGCCGCCGGTGAGCTGCGTTATACCGGACGGCGTGATGAGCTTCGCACAGAGAGTGGCCAGCGACATGGGCATCCTTGCCCCGGCGTTCTGGACCACCAGCGCCTGCGGCTTCATGGGATATCTCCACTACGCCGAGCTCATCGACAGAGGCTACGTGCCACTCAAAGGTAGTACACTTGAACTCACGATTACCGTTTTATTGTGTATGGCTGTACGCACGGTAAAATGTTTTTGCTCATGCATGGACATGTTGCAGATGAGAGCTACCTGACCAACGGATACCTCGACACCGTGCTCGACTGGGTGCCGGGGATGCCAGGCATCCGGCTGCGCGACATGCCCAGCTTCATCCGCACGACCGACCGGGACGAGTTCATGCTCAACTTCGACAGCGGCGAGGCGCAGAACGCGCGCCACGCGCAGGGCCTCATCCTCAACACGTTCGACGCGGTGGAGCACGACGTCGTCGACGCGCTGCGCCGCATCTTCCCGCGCGTGTACACAGTCGGCCCGCTCCTGACGTTCGCGGGGGCCGCAGCGGCGCGGCGCCCCGAGGTGGGCGCGATCGGCGGCAACCTCTGGAAGGAGGACGCGAGCTGCCTTCGGTGGCTGGACGCCCAGCAGCCCGGCTCGGTCGTGTACGTCAACTTCGGTAGCATCACCGTCATGTCGCCGGCTCATCTCGCCGAGTTCGCGTGGGGGTTGGCGCGCTGCGGCCGGCCATTCCTGTGGGTCATCAGGCCCGACCTCGTCGCCAGCGAGAAGGCCATGCTGCCGGAAGAGTTCGTCAGCGAGACCAAAGAGAGAGGGATCTTTCTGAGCTGGTGCCCGCAAGAGCAAGTCCTGGAGCATCCGGCGACCGGCCTGTTCTTGACGCATTCCGGCTGGAACTCGACGCTGGAGAGCATAAGCGCCGGCGTGCCGATGATCTGCTGGCCGTTCTTCGCCGAGCAGATGACCAACTGCCGCTACGCTTGCACCAAGTGGGACATTGGACTGGAAATTGACACCGACGTGAAGAGGGAGGAGGTGGCACGGCTCGTGCAAGAGGCCATGGATGGAGAGAAAAGCAAGGATATGAGAGCGAAAGCAATGGCGTGGAAGGAGAAAGCCGTGGCGGCAACGGAGGAAGGAGGCACTTCGAGCGCCGGAATAGATCGTTTGGTTGAATTTCTGCTTGCAAGAGGTGATCACGCAAGCTGAATATTGTTGTTGTTGATCAATCCTAAAAATGCGATTTGTAATTGGGTAAATGAATCTATGATGTGACCATCTCCCACTATCTTGTTAGAAATATCAAATATTAGTTCTGGAGTGGAGAACAAAGATCAACAATAATTTCAGGTTAGACAGCCTCTGCTTCACCAATGTCACTAGTCAGTATTTCAGGTTTGTGGATGGTTTCAGTTTCACCTGTCGTAGTAAGATGCTCCATCATGATCATCTATTCTGTAACAATGGTAAATTGGTAAAGACCTGGTTGTAAACTAGTAATCCAGACGGATGGTGCATGTAAGAGATAACAACAGCACGCGCCGGAAGATATTATGGAAAATTACAGATTTTTTTTCGTGAAGTTCAGTTGGGCCATACAATGGATTCACCGAAGAAATGCATTGTGAAAATTGGAAAAGAATATGAAATAATGAAAGAACAATTCTTTTGGTGCTTTTTTTCAGTCAAGAAATGAGTGCTTGGAGCCCTGTTACAGACCACCATGGCACCATGTGGGCTGACATTGAGTCATTTCGGAAGAATTTTCAGTTCACCAAGTCAGTTCGAGGTGTTTAGATCTGAATTTGATTCTACAGTCTTTGATGCTTCCTTGCTGTCTGTGGTTGGAGTTGCAGCTGCACTCGCGGAGACTGGCGGAGCTGATTGAGCACCTGCAACATATTCAGCAGTAGTCAGGCATAAATTTGTCACGATGGTGTTGTTTCTAAATGATGTCAACTGTGACAAGAACGTACTATGTTTCTAAATGACAGTAATAGATATCTGAATGGTAGGCTAACAATGACATACCGGTTGTTTCATCTGGTTGCCTTGAGAGTGCATGAGGGGGCAACTGGAGTCTGAAATCCGGTGGGAGAGAAGGTCCTGGAGGGAAAGAGCCCCCGTCGAACTGCAGCGCAGGCTGCTGAATGAAAGGTGGCCGTGGAGCTTGTTGCTGCATCGGAGAGAAGCCAGCCCTTGGACCCAGGGCACCCGGCATGTACCCCATAAACTGGTACGACGGTGTTGAAGGGGATGTTGGACCATACAGCTGAGGGTAGTAATGCTGTAGCGCTTGTGAATTGTACACGGCATGCTGAGGAGTTCAGACATTGGATAGTTTCAGCACATATTGACACATGGAAAATAAGATGATTCAGACTCTAGATACTTCCAGTATATATTGTTAGATGGGAAAAATAAGATGATAGTACTTGTGCTGATGTCTATTACTATAACTTAGTGCTCTGGTGTATAGAAAATATGTGCAGATAATCAATACTACTAAATGTTAGAGTATTCAAGCTTTTGAGGTGCAGGACACAACTTTAGCTGTTGTGAGTTCAGAGTTTCAGAACATGAACGCCAACTGTGAAACTTATCTATTCTTTGTGTACTGTTACCAAATTATTGGAGATGCATGTAGCAAGAACCAATCGCATGTGATGGAAGTAAAACGTCAAACATTGAACAAGGAGATGGATGGGATGCTTGCCTGTTGGTAAGGATAATCTTGTGGGTACCAGTACCTGCAAAAGTTTGCATAATTTCTTTAGTGCGTTGTAAAAGATTGAGAGGGATTGAGCCGAACATGAGTCCCACCATTCTCTTGGAGACAGCAGACATATCTACCAACTATCTTGGCTGTAAAGCCCAAACTTATCTCATATATACACAATCTATTCTAGCTAAAACTAGAGCAATAAACTTTTCCCATTTCTTGTACTTCCAGTTTTTCAGTGGCAGCAGCAGTTCATAGGAAAAGGGTTCTAAATTCCTCATTTCTTGTACAAATTGTATGAACCTAAAAGCAATTGGCTGGCTAAATCATAACCCCCATCAAATAAAAGTGCAGTTATTGTCATTTGTCAAAAACAAAACTGGACTCTGTTTTTTAAAATAAACTTTGTGCAAAAATATCCACATAAAACATTATTAACCTTTTTTCAAGAAAAATCAAGATCAAGAGTAACTTTCAGATCGTCTAATTTTACATTTGCATATGAGAAAGGCAGAAACAACTCAACTACTAGTTCAGCGGTGGTTCTTAGCAAAATATAACCAAATTTAAAATCCCGTACATGCCATGCCACACATGCATTCCTGTTTCAACGATCTGTACAGGTCCACGGTTATAACTAAAACAAACTAAAGAGGCAAATTGCATAGCAGCAGCCAAGTGGCATCAGATCTGAATGCAGACATTTAACTCGGCAGAAAACCAACAAAGTGCAGAGTGTGTTTGCTGGGAAGGCAACACCCCATGGTGGTCTAGACTCTAGAGAGAGAGACGGTGTGGGACCCTCCGGAGTTGAATGCCCATTGGCCATTGCTGAGCTGCTGTCTCCCTCCCATCGGCCCAGGCTTAATGGGCCATCACGCAGGGCCCAACAGGAGTGGGAATGGGGACACGTGGGCCCTCTGTGCTCCTTGGCAACTGAACCCTTCTGCCCAATTAAGGAAAACGAACCACGGAAAGCTGCTGCCACGAAAGGAACGGGACCTCACACACTAGTCATTGCCGTGAAAATGAGACGCAGCAGCAGGCGCCAATTCGGTACTAGCTACCCCCATCAGCTAGTACAATAAAAAGATCAGCCTCTCCAATCACCGTGCATTAGCAGCAACGACTTTCTTGTCTACTACTCCACCCGTTTACCTCCGAGATCAGTTAGTAATAAGGTACCATCTCTTTCGACAAAATAAGGGCTCCAAATGTCTACCTCAAAAACCCACATGGATAAAAACCGCATACGTCTCCATGAACCACCAGTTCCAATCACCAATGACGCGGAGGCCTCACTACCTAAACAGCCTATTTATCCTTTTTGTGCATTGCAGTGCAATTTACAGCTAGGCTCTAACAAGGAAACACGGTGCAAACTCCCAAAGAGGGAATGACATGGTGCTGATATGGACGTGTAGCTAATGCTTAGCTGCTGTCGCATGCACAGCCGCTGATCGATAAGGTTCAGGTTAATTTGCAGCGTGGCTCGGATCCCACGATGACGACGGTGCAATATACTAGTGCGTGTTTTTTGGACGATGGTTGTACGTATTCATTATCCATGCATCATCGTAATCGTGGGGTCTGAGTCGTGCTGCATCCGATGGCTTTATAGAGGAAAAAAGATTAAAAAAAAGAAGAGGAAAGAAGAAGTTTGATACTCACCCGAACTGAGGATGGTAGTACATCTGTTGAGGTGGGGCCGTCATATGCTGCGGCGGCAACCGGCCGCCCATGTAAGGCTGCGGGCCCATGTGTGGCTGATCCGGGAAGAGGGACCCACGTGGGGCCCGCCCTGCAGAGAGACAAACGAGGGGAAATGATGTTAGGCATGGCAAAATGGCATGTTATAGGCTGCAGAGAAAACAACACACACAATGACTCAAGGAAAATAAATGAACTGTGCAGGGGTAGCAGGTGTATGCATGTATGTATAGCGTACAGTAGCCAGTAGGGCAAGGCTTGCAAAACAGTTGTATGGACTGTGCACAGAGGTGTTACCATGTGCTCCTTACATTGACTGGGTTTGACTAACATGCATGGGTGCAAGTAGCAAATGATACTATAATATTATAACTACTGAGTTGTGATCCCTCTAAAAAGGTTAATATTAACTGTCTAATAGTAACATAAAAAATCAGTTTCTCAGCACAAAAGGACACCAGCATTTTTGTTCTATTTTTAGATGGCGAATGGAGAAGAATTTTTAGAAGTTTCTTTTGGTAGAGATTAGCACACCGCCAAACAATTCAAGACTGTTTTTGGCTAGCTAGCACTACAACCAACTCCATTTAGGCACTGTTGTGCTGTAGTGCACCAAACAACAATTTTCTTTTGTATAAAAATAGTATGATGTCCCAATTGTTCTAGCATGAAAAGGAGAAAAAACTTGAAGGACCAATACAAGTATACAACCCATCTGTGTAACCCCTCGTGTGTATTTTCTTTTATGAAAAGCACCAAGGTCTCGTAATATAATAGCTAGACGATATCAGCGGTATATGCATGTTCTCTCTCTTCTTTTTGAAAGGAAAACATATGCAGGTTTTCATCTCACCCACAGTACGGCTTAAAGTCATAAGGGCATGCATGTGTGCGTGCTGCATTGTAAGAAACGCAAATGATATGTACTATCTCCCTATATGGATGAGCACAAAATGAAGTGAAAGTGAAGCTAAAGAAACAAGGGGATACTGGACCCAACACACTTGATGCGAAGTAGCCACAACATTGAACTGTGCTAGCTAGCACCTATTCTTCCTCCAATCGTTGGCAGTTGGTACCCAACCATACCGGTCAAAGACTGCGAAAGAGTGGTATATGCTATGAAGCATTTTTCTAATGCCCCCGCACCGATCGATTTTCACCAGAAAAGAAAGGAAGGCGGCCGCCGGGGATTCCTGATTCTCCAGCTACAATCTCCCAACCCCTTTACACCTCATTCTCGCTGGAACGATTTATCATATCGCCACTGCATTCTCTAGTCAAACCACCCAAATTCTCTCCCAATAGCAAATTCTCTCCCAATAAGAAAAAAAGAATATAAGATCATAAAAGAGAAAGTTCATCCCCACTAATTAATCAACCATCCCATAACCACAAATCTGCCAAGATTACGCTAATTAATCTAATTAATCAGCAACTACCAAACAGATCAACGCGCCTACTACTGTGTGGTACGAAGGTGCAGCAAATGCTGCAGATAATTAGGGGTAGTAAACCTGTAGTAACTGCTGTGAGGCCAGGCTAGCTGGCCAAGCAAGCACACGCAGCCATGAGGCATGGTAATGTGATGTCTGATCCTGCCTCCCCTCCCAATGCAGACGCAGTACTCGTAGTAGTCGTCGTCCTCCTTACTGTGTGCTGGCGCCCAGTGTTTTAGGCTTTTAGCAAGCTGGACCTGGGCCCCACCCATCTGCCATGCCAACACGACCCACCACCGCAGCGCACGCAAGGAGGACGACGAAGAAGAGGAGGGGAAAAAAAGCAAGGGTAAAAAAAAATTGGCGGAGTGCCCTAATCGAAGCTTATCCGGTTTGATTGCGTGCGGGCAATCGGTTTACCGCTAATCATGGCCCAGTTATTGCTGCCATGCACATGCGCGTGCCTTGTTCTGGCAAGTAATGGAAAGAGAGGCATTGATTTGGTTTTGGGGGTTCGTCGGGTTAATTTGCTCACCTCGCGACGGCGACGGACGCGGCGGCCCCATGGACGCAATGTTGCAGTTGGCTCGCCGGCCGCCGATCGTCGGGTTCGGGTTCCGCACCGCCTCCCGCGCGGACTCCGGCTCCCTGAACGTCACCTGCGTCGACACAGATGCATCTCGTGTCAGATCGATCAAGCACATGAATACATGCATGCACGGCGGCGAGCGATCATCTCGTCGGCGAGAAAGAGGAGGGACGTACGAATCCGTAGCCCTTAGAGCGGCTGGTCTCGCGATCGGTGATGACGACGGCCTCGAGGATTTCGCCGTATTGCTGAAAGTGGTCCTGCAGGCCCTTGGACGGCGTCTCCCACGCCAGGCCGCCGACGAACACCTTGGTCAGCGTGGTGTCGCCGAACCGCGTCCGGTGGTTCGGTACCCCGCTGCTGCCGCCGCCGCCGGCACCTCCCGCCGCCGGCGCGTGAGCCGGCGCTGCCGACCCAGCGGACGACGTCGATGACGAGGCCGCAGCCATGACGTACGTACGCGCCGCCGCTTGCTTCTCCCTTCGCAAGACTATGGATTGATCGATCAATGATCCTATAACGATCGAACTCTTTCCCGGTCCCGTTCCTACACCTATATATGGCAATCAAACTCGATTAATAGTGGCGGGGCCGATTTCGCCGTCTCGTACAGGGATCAGCCTCTATCGTGTTTGCTCCCAACTCCTCGCTTTCCAAGTAGTAGTACTCTAACTCTTCTTCCATAACCTCTCCCACCTTCTCAGGCTTAGGAAGGTAGAGGAGGAAGCAGAGGAAGAGGGATTTGTTAAGAGGAGAGGAGAAGACTCGGAGGAGGGAGAGATGGACAGGGGCTATGCGCTGGAAGAGAGGGTTTCCGGTGTGGGATGACAGCTGCGTCACCCTTTCTAGTCTAGCTTCCAATCGACTGCTACTATAATACTCTTACTAGCTTTGCAGGCCCCTGTTGCCTCCTTGTACTCCATCTTTTTTTCTCTCTCTCTCACCCTCCCTTTGCTCTGCGTCTCTGTCTCCCTTCATGTGTTGTGTTTGTGTTGTGTATTTTCAGATTGGCCGTGAGCTGAGCTGCCAACGCGCGCCCACCCGAAGTGGGCGCGACCGCGCGAGGGCGTCCTCCGCTCCGGCCTGTCGCCCTCGCGGGCGGAGCCGAGCCCGAGCCCAACACGCGCGTTAACTGAAGGCACGCGGCATACGTGCGTGACGAGGCGCTTCGACTGGCTGCGCGCGAGATCGAGTTGGTGGGGGATGGCGGCGTCTCCGGGTTGGCCTCGGTTGCGGTTGCTTGTGGATTTGCAACTCCTTTTGCCCGCGTGGCTCTCCCATCCTTGCTTGCTTAGGATGCACAAACTAAACGGAGCGAGGGAGGGAGGAACAGTGTCACTGTCGTGTCAAGATGCCAAAGGGAAGAACCTGGATTGATTCCCGATTTTCATTATCTACCACAGAAGGACAGACACATTAAGGAAACGTACTGCAAGTTTTCGTAGGGCGTAAAGCTTATCAGTTTTTGCATGGGCATCACATATCGTTTTTCACTAGCAATGGACCTCGATCGCCTTTCTTCAACCTCGAAGCATCTTGCAGTGAAAACGGAGTAGTTCTGATGTAGGGTATCGTCCGAATGTTCAGCTCTAGCCTGAAACAGACGGAAACCCCGCGTAGCTTTGTGTCGGTTTACGCGTACCAGCGTACGTGTCTCCACTGCCGATCAGCATCGTCGTTAGTTCATACAGCATACCGCTCCATTTAATTAAGAGCGTTTTCGTACGACCGTGGCCGACTTATGTTGTCGCGTGTGTACCATTTATTTCGTTAAGATTGAGAACTAAGTCATTAATGCAGTTTGTTTTATCTCTCAATTTTTTTTAACATGCTGTATAGATATTATAGAGTGGTGACTGATAGGGAAACTGTGGAGGAAACAATGGGATTAGGGACGTAGAGTACTACTCTGGACTCTGAAGAATGCAGCTGTTGACAATTTCGTGTAAGAACAGGATATATTTTAGAGTTGACAATGAAGAGTCGTTGTGTGGGGACGGGAGGGGCAATTAAGTGTAGTTGTTGGGTGATCCGCAAGATTACCGGGTCATCAGCGCCACGTCAGCAAAGGCTGCATTCTTGCGTGGCAGCAAAACCTTTAGTTGACGAAGCTTTGATGCTGGCTTAAAAGAGCACTACCGCGAGATTAGCATAAACCATATTCGCCTTGACCTCTTTGCAGAATACGGTGATCTATTGTGGCATGGACACTATAGTCACCAGTTCAGCACCGTGTGAGCCACACTCGTGTACGGCCGGGTCAGTTTGGTTTACATTTCGTTTAACAAAACGGAAGCCATGTCAACCAATTATGATGGACAAAGTAACCTTATGGATTAATCAGTGAGCTGTTGCAATTCAGCATTACTAGATCTATATATGCATGTAAAGAAGATTATAGGCTTTAGATATAACAGGTATCACCAGAGTCAATCTTGTTATTCTTTTTCTCGATGTGTACATCAACTTTTGACTTCAAAGATTGTGAAGTGTTCTTTAATCCCACATTAAGAATGAGTGGCATATGCCCTTAAGTTGGACTTCCCTCTTCCATTTGAATTTAGTCATATGTAGATCAACCTCTAATTTCAGAGACAATTAAATTAGCCTAGCCTTCGTTCAAAAAAAAAATTAGCCTTAGCTCTGAATAAGCACGATACCTGAAGGCCAATAAAATGAGAGTAGCAAAAGGACGATTTACAGGGTACGGGAGCAATAATCTTTCCTTGTGACCTACTCCTATTACAATTTACAAGCTAGAGATGGCATTCACCCTTTGGAATTTCCGTTATATTGCCAAACTCAACTGATGGAAGATTCCTTGACATTGCATCAGTCGCTGCAGTAACGGAATCACCAACTCAGAAAGCGAGAGAGAAGGGCACTCCACTCAACCCAACCCCTTAGCTTTGGCCGCAGAAGATGCAGACACACACATCAAAATATGCAAGGGATGACAGGAACAGATGGATATGCCAGCCCTTTCCGCGAATTACCAACCTGTCCTCTAAGCAATCCAGATGGATAGCGTTCGCAAAATACTAGCAACATGGATCGATGGAGTCTGCACGCACCCGTTGCCAATTCAGCCGTGGGTTCCAGCCCACAAACATATATATTCTTTACTCCCTTCGTCAGCAATTAACAATGGAGCTAACCGCCTAACCGGTCACCATCAATCATGAGCTCTACTACTAAATCTCCTTGTGAACAGCACTAACCTCTGGTTTTCTTTCTTTAATAACAAGCAACAAGGAGATGAAAAATCTCATCGACAACCATGAGAGAGAGATGCAAAGAGACGTAAGCCAAAGTGACAAAGATCCAGCGTCAATCCATCTCATGCTGTTTGTTGGATTGGATTACACCAGCAAGTCACCAACGTATCGTACCCTCCTCTCTGCTCTCTCCGATATCATCACTGAATAATCTTAGCTGGCTGGCTGGCCGGGCATGCAGAGAATGTCGTGCAAGAACAACCCTGCGAATGGCTAATTTGCTGGCTTGTTTGGATCGTTCTCTTCTTTTCTCCTGTGCAACCCCGGCGTCGTCCCTTTCGCGCAGCAAGACAGTTCTTGCCAACTCCCGCGCGGACAATTTTGATTATTAGTGGTTGCCCCTTTCAAACCAGCACAAGGAGTTGCTGCGCCTGTCCGTCCGTTTGCTTCCCGGCAATTTCTCGATCGACATAGCTGGCGAACGTCGGATATGTACCGGACGAAATCCGGTTTGCTCTGCCATAATCTGCTTGTCCGTGAATGTCGATGAATTCCTGCTCTTTTTTTCTCCCCTTCATATCGAGCAGATTTGTACCAGCAACACGCAGCAGAGGTTTTCTGTTGGTGGTTGGGTGTGGAGGGGAGGAGCACCGAGCCAGTGCTTGAATTCGATAGGGTTTTAATTGTGGACGTCGTGCTCGATCTTGCTCAGCAATGGCGTGGATTTTGTCATTTACACCTGGGCTGGACGTGCCTATGTGTACCGGGGAGTCTGCGAATGTTTGTGACCGGCGGAGTGCCTTGGATCTTTCGCCATGTAACGTTGCAGGTCTGTCTCGATCGATCTTACTCCAGCGTGCTTCTCCTCCGAGTTGGTCCGGAGGCAGTTATCACGCATGCAATGCAGACGTGTAGTACGGTTTTTCACAGATGGAGAAATTTTGGTTGTTTCCAAACTCGAAATGCATACTGTGGCAGGGCGGAATTCCGTTCCCGATTGCGAATTTGGCAGCTGAAGATTGCAGAATGGTCCTTAAAGCTGTAGGCCTGTATGGGCTTAAAGGAAATGGCCCTGTGGGCTACTAGTCTACAGCGTAATAGTGATAGGCAATAAGTTCACTTTAGGTCTCTTATCTTGACATCGAGTTTAAATCACATCCTTGAACCATGACACCACATATAACATGCCTATCAATTTACAAAACCGGATCACCCGTGGTCTCATACAATATTTTACCCAATTTTAACTGACGTGACGGCCTAAGTCAACGTTGGACTAGGTCCCACATGTTAGTGATCAATTCTTGCTTTCTCCTACATCCACCTCTCTTCCTTTCTCTAGCAACGTGGAGAGGTGCGGAAGACAGAGAACGACGAGGAGAGGGATGGCTGCCGCTAGCAGGAGGTTGTGCCATCTCCACAATGTCGTAATCAATCTCCGGGTTTCCCCCAACCGGATTGACTTTTCCTCCAGGCGGATGGCACCTTTTGTCATCTTCATCCTAGCGTGTGGCGACCACCACATGACTGGTTTGTGGATAAAGGGGTTTCGCGTAGCTCGACTGAGAAAGGATGCCAACGATGTGGCTCTAAATACCACATGACAATGGCGATGTGGTGCCTTTACAACACCGACAACGCACTTGGCAACTTGGGCTCTTCCTCTTCCCGCTCGTCCCCGGCACTGTTGCCCCTTCCCTCATGGAGGAACACCATAGCGACCGCGCTAGGAGGATGAGCTCGAGCACTCAAGGCCGGTGGCGGCGAGGAAGAGGAGGGGCTCGAGCTCACCCGGCTCCCTCCTTTCCTTCACATCAGCTGACCATTGTGGCTACCGTCTTCCCGCAGCTCATGTCATTGGCTTCGCATCGCCTAGGGGTTTATTGTAGTGTCGCGCAGAGGAAGGCAAAGAGGGAGTTTGGCCCAGATGAGCGCAACAGAGATAAAAAACGTTCTCACTGTGCTCGGCCTTGGCCACCATCGTCATCCATTCCCTCATCAGTGAGAGAGCTACTATGACCGTGTTTCGCGAACTGCAGTGACAGGACGTGCCGGAGTCCACCCTCCCCGCCATGGCGATCCTTATGAGTTGTGGTGGTTTGACTTACCTGTCATGCCGCCGTTTTGGCCATTGGTCTTACGAGTGCGCTCGAGAAGAATGAGGGGGAGAGATGGAGAAAAAGGGGAGGGAGGGAGATGATGACGTGTAGGGGGCATATTTGTTTTGCAACTTAAGTTTCTAGTCAGCGTGAGTGGACCGGGTCAATTTGCCACATCATTAAACTAATCATCCATACTGTTGAGGGTCCTAATTTAAATGATTTTTACAAAATCAAGGTTGCATTATATCTGGTTTTACGGTTTAAGGATTTTCTTTTTCAAACTCGATGACAAGATGAGGGACTTCAAGTGGACTTTACCCTAGTGGTGGCGTGGATCGGCAAAGTTGGGCCATCAGATGACTGCCCTGTGTAAGCTGTTTGGCGGCCCTCTCCTGGAGGTGCTCTAACGTGAAACACCGGAATACGCTTTCCAACTCGTATTACGGAAAATCAGTCGATCTGGCCGTTCCGGCTCCCGTCCCATCCTCTTGCACAGTGCCGGCCCTAGGCCATCCAACCCCTGAACCCTCTCAATTTCTCCCCCAAATCCCCCGCTCCCATCCGGCGAGCTCGCCGCCCCGCCGCCGCCACGCGGAAACCCGCAATGGAGGAAGGCAGCGAGGCGCAGCCGCCGCTCCAGCCGGAGGCCGTATCAGCCGAAGCCTCGGAGCCGCCGCCTCCTGTCCCAATGGACCAAGACGAGGGCCAGGCGGCAGCTGCGGAGGCCATGGAGGGGGAAGCTGAAGGCGCTGCGGCGGCCGCGGGGACCATTGAGGGCGAAGCGGGATATGCCGCGGCGGATGCTGATCCCATGGAGGATGAAGCGGCGGACGAAGCCGGCGCCGCTGAGCCCATGGAGGACGACCCGCCGACGTCGTCCGCGCCGTCCGCCACCGCGGCCGTTGACGACTCGACCATCGCGCGGAAGCGCCGCCGCCGTAAGAAGCAGTTTCCCGGCATGATCCCCACGGCGGGTGTCCGTGTCCTCCGAGCAGCCGCCTCCGCCCCATCCGCGGCGCATCTCAACGGCGTCCCTCGCCGCCGTGGTCGGCCCCCGACCTCCTCCTCACTCCGCCTCGCGCGAGAGCTCGATGCTGAGGCTCTCATAGCCCTCGCGGCGGGGTTCCCGGCGGACTCCCTCTCCGAGGACGAGGTCGCCGCCGCCGTCCTCCCACGCATCGGTGGCGTCGACCAGACCAACTATCTCGTCGTCCGCAACCACGTCCTCGCGCTCTGGCGCTCAAATCCGCTCTCCCCGGTTGCATCCAACGCCGCGCTCGCCTCCATTCGCGCCGAGCACGCCCACCTCGTCGCTGCTGCGCATTCCTTCCTTTCAGACCATGCGTACATCAATTTTGGCCTTGCTCCATCAGTTATTTCCCTCCCACCGTGCCCCCCTCCTTCCCTTCCTCCCCCCTCTGTCCTTATTGTTGGTGCTGGTTTTGCCGGCCTCGCTGCTGCACGGCACCTGATGTCCCTTGGCTTCAAGGTCGCCATTGTTGAAGGACGACTGCGCCCTGGCGGCCGTGTGTTTACTAAGTCTATGCGCTCCACTGCTGCAGAATATCCTGACATTGCAGCTGCTGCTGATCTTGGAGGCAGTGTGCTCACCGGTATCAATGGAAATCCCCTTGGTGTCATTGCACGGCAGCTTGGGTTTCCACTGCATAAGGTGCGGGACAAGTGCCCGCTGTATCTTCCGGATGGTCGCCCAGTTGACCCTGACATGGACGCCCGTGTTGAGGCTGCCTTTAACCAGCTTCTTGATAAGGTCTGCCAACTGCGGCAGGTTGTTGCGGACAGCATCCCACATGGCGTGGATGTGTCACTTGGCATGGCATTGGAGGCGTTCCGAGCGGCACATGGTGTCGCTGCTGAGCGAGAGGAACGAATGCTTCTTGACTGGCATCTAGCTAATCTGGAGTATGCCAATGCTGCTCCTCTAGTTGATCTATCCATGGCCTTCTGGGATCAGGATGATCCATATGAAATGGGTGGTGACCACTGCTTTATTCCTGGCGGCAATTCTCGTTTTGTCCGTGCGCTTGCTGATGGCATCCCAATATTCTATGGGCAGAATGTGCGAAGGATACAGTATGGGTGTGATGGTGCGATGGTGTACACGGATAAACAGACTTTCCGTGGTGATATGGTGCTCTGCACTGTCCCCCTTGGTGTGCTCAAGAAGGGTAACATTCAGTTTGTGCCTGAGCTCCCAGCTCAGAAGCGAGAGGCCATCGAAAGATTGGGTTTTGGTTTGCTTAACAAGGTTGTGCTGCTGTTCCCCTATGACTTCTGGGATGGCAGGATCGATACATTTGGGCACTTGACGGAGGATTCTGGTCAGCGTGGAGAATTTTTCCTGTTCTATAGCTATTCATCGGTCTCAGGAGGGCCACTGCTCATTGCGCTTGTTGCTGGGGAATCTGCAATCGAGTTTGAGAAGACATCGCCAGCGGAAAATGTTGAGAAGGTGCTAGAAACACTTAGGAAAATATTTTCACCAAAGGGGATTGAGGTTCCAAAGCCTTTGCAGGCCATATGTACTCGATGGGGTACTGATAAGTTTACATATGGTTCATATTCTTATGTGGCTATTGGATCTTCTGGTGACGATTATGACATTCTGGCAGAGAGTGTGTGCGACAGAGTTTTCTTTGCTGGGGAGGCAACAAATAGGCGGTATCCTGCAACGATGCATGGAGCTTTACTTAGCGGGTACAGGGAGGCTGCCAACATTGTAAGAGCAGCTAGGAGGAGAGCGAAAAAGGTGGACTCACCTAAGAAAATGGATGTTAACAATGAAGTCAAATATGAAGTTAAAGTCGACAACATTGATCTGGATGATCTCTTCCGTACTCCTGATGCTGCTTTTGGGGGCTTCTCAGTTCTCCATGATCCATCTACCTCTGAACCTGATTCAATTTCATTGTTACGTGTTGGAATTGGTGCAAGAAAGTTAGGATCTGGCTCGCTTTTCCTCTATGGTTTAATTATGCGAAAAAATGTAGCCAATTTAGCTGCAATGGAGGGTGATGAGCAACGATTGAGTACACTGTACCGAGATTTTGGGACAAAACTCGTGGGTTTAGATGGCTTGGGTGACTCTGGGTCAAGCCTTATATCTCGGATAAAAGCTGCTGCTAGGAAATAATACCAAGCCAAGATGTTGGAATGATTCACTGTCAGCTGTAATAGTCGTGAGCGCTGAGCATTGACTTGCATGCTCAGCATAGTTACTGACCCTGGAGTAATTCGTTCATTTCATTGATTACCTTAAGCATATTAACTCTGATCCAAGGTGTAAGTTGTGCCAATGTTATGCTGATAAAACAATGGAGAGTATTTGAAGATCATATTACCATGGAAATAATGGAAGATTATTGCCATCACTTTCTGTGCACAAATGATACACCACTCTGAGACTACTTTGATGGCATCGTTACATATATTAATTATGTTAAGTTTTATCTAGCCCTTGTTATCATTTCTTCTGACTTTCAGGGCTTATGATTTCAATAGATGAGTTATTGTGTGAATGATATCAGTGGAATATGTGAAGTGCAAAAGGATTTCAGGATCCTGTTGCTTCTAATATTTTTAACATTTGGGTTATGATATATAACTATGATTCATGGATAAGACATTGTCTAGTGGTTGTCTGCTGCACTTCCAGTATGGATGCTGCGGAGGGCTGGAGAGCCCTCCTGGTCTAATAGACAACTAAAAAAAAAAAACTTTTGTTGCAATATTTGTTTTATTTCATAATTCAGTTTCAGTACATTTTATATGCTTGTTTTCCTTGTTTTGGGAGGTGATTTTATGTGTAGAACCAACCATGTCAGTGGTGATAATTCATTTTGTTCATCTAGCTGTAGACTTGAAGTTAATAACAAATATGAGATGTCAACGTCTTTTTATTGAGTTCCCCATACGGAAGTACTAAGATGCTTATTTTGCCCGGTCATGACTTCCTTATCAATGTTTCTTGACTTGTATGTGAGTCACACAATCTGTTTGACTGCACCTTGTGGTGACCTTAAGACATTTTACATGCGTGATAACTTGAGAATGAATATTCCGTTCTGCTTGTACCAATGCGTCTCTGTGATTACGATCAAATTGTTTCGGTTCAAGGTCTTTACCATGTTATTTCTGATTTCAGGTTTCTCCCTTGGTTTAGAAAATTCATATTTGCTGGCATAAACAGGTCTTTACCATGACATATTGCTAACATAAACAGGGCTCTGCCTACGTGACAATATCGGAAAAACTCGGTTCTTTTTTTTTCTCTAATTGATTATTTGTTTAGCTGACCATATAAGTATAGGCAAATACTTATATTAAGTTGCCTGGAACTGGAACTCAAGATATTATTTGACTGTAGTCTTTATGTTTCTGTCGAACTAATCAAAATATCACATCCATAAAACATGCAGCTTTGTTATAGTGGGAAGTACTAGATGGTCTGAATTGAGTTGAAGTCGTAAAATGTTCCTACTAGTGTTTAATTGCTCCTATGTATGAGTGTTACTGTTTCTGCGGAAAAGAGTGTTTGTCCGTAGCAGTTGTAACCAGATGGCGCGTTCTTCATAACAACTTAAAAATATGAGATTAGCTGGGAATTCTGCATTTCCGCATGGTTTGGCCTGCCTTTTTCCAGTTTTTGATTGGTCGCATCCTGCGGTAACTGCTCATCAGCGATGGGAAATGTGCGAAAGCTTTGCTTGACTTACAATTCTATGGGCTGTTCAGCGTGATCATTCCGAAATGTGTGCTTAGGTTCTTTAGTTTTTTACCCAACGTGTGTTTGGTGCAGTTGTCGTTTTGCTTTTGGTATTCATCAAGCTCCATCAAGTTTCCGTTCCATATGTTTGCTTGTTTTATGGGCGTTACGTGTCCCCTTCATTTCATCCTTGCCCCGTTCAAGGTTTGTGAAGACCATGCATAATTCCATAAACATTTTTGCCGAATGTACGGCAGCTTTTCGTGCTACAATCTTTAGGCTGCCTCCACTACCGTGAATTGGATAGTGAGCGGAAATTTGGCCACTCTTGACAACGCGCGTTGAATGGTTGAATAAACTATTTCGTTAGTTCCTTGTTGACTTGACTGTCATAGGATTTTCATTTTTGAGATCTGAAAACTAACCTCATTGTTACCTATCCCGATACTATACTAGCTACCAAGATGAACCATTACTAATGATTTGTGTTCGTTGTTTGCCTTGTTACGTTTGCTGCTTGTTTGTGAGCAATCAAATGTGGGTGGTAGCAAGCAGCAACTAGAAAAAGAGATATGAGAAAATCTTTTAATTTTTCAGATCTGAAACCTAACCTCATTGTCAACTATCCCAATACTGAACCATCACCAATGATTTCTGTTCATTGTTTGACTAGTTACATTTGCTGCTTGCTTGTGAGCAACCAAATGTGAGTGATAGCGAGCAGCAACTAGTAGCACCAAAAAAAGGGAGAAAATCTTCAGCGTTTGGCCCAAAACCAACAGCAAGAATTCATCAGCGAGTAGTGGGGGATCGTTAAGCACTGCACTGGTGCTGTGTTGGCCGCTTCCCACATGGATATAAAGTGGCCATCTACCAACCTACTGTTTGACATTGACGACCATGTCAAAAATCCTTAGCTGTTCTATTTTGTCTCCACGGCGACGGATCCAGTGACCCGTCTATCATTTTCAGATCCGTGACCACTCGCCGCCGCTTTCCTCTCTTCTCCTCTCCAACCGCGTCGGCGTCTCGATCCAGTGGATGGACTGCATGTGCAATGCGTTTGTAAACTTAGATACAACTAGTGAAATGCAATCCAATCTAATCTGACATATGAAGGGTTTGACACCTAGGGCTGAAATCCATATGTTCCGATATGGGACGCACTGGCTACGTACTGTGCATGATTCAAAATGGATAGGCACAGCTCGTGGGACGAGTTCTTGGCTGCCGAGGGGAGTAATGCGCAACTGCATTGCACGGGCAGGAAAGGGACGAGTCCTCGCTCATCAGAGCCATTGAATGCGTGCGTTTGAGCTTACTCCTACCTTGGATGGTGAGGTGAGGTAAATGGATTTTGTCGGTGTCAAGCCTCTGTGCAGCCAGTATGGGCGCGTTGCTGTACCGACGGATTGAGGTGAGGGCTCGAGCTTTCTCTCCCGAGAGCTGGAGGGCGGCGGTTTCCACCGACATTTTCGCGGTCCAGCCTAGCTTGGCCGTGCCCCCACTGGCGTTCGCGTACATTGCATGTTCTGTTCTTCTTTTCAAATGATACAGGAGAAACGGACGTACTGTACAGAGGGAGGACGTTTTGATGAACCATGGAGGTGGAGGGTTTGATTGGTAGACGGTGTCGCGGTGACGTAACAGGAGATTTCTGGAGCTGTTGTAGATGCGAATGCGAGAAACAATTAATCAGATCCACCCCCTGTTACAGATCGAACTAATCCCCATCTTGAATTCAATACCGGACACTACCTAAGTAACGCAGTACATTGTAGTTACCAGCCGACATTGTAGAAAGTGGATGAGCTCTCCGTATCTAGTTCGCTCGTACAACTTCAGGCCTTTTCCAACCGACTTTACGCTTCGCTGAAGATCGCGAAGAAGGTTGCCAGGTAGGAGGGCAACGGCGTAGCTTCGCTCTATGGAAGCATCACTGACCCACTGACCCCGGGCTACATGCCGTCAAAAATTAAGCAGCCAAAAAACCACGTACTCGAGGTTTTTTGCAGCAGTGGCTCGTGGTGGGTTAGCGACGAGGCCATCCACGCCGGGTGGGAAACGGGCGCGTCGCCATCCGTCACAGCGCTGCAGGTTGGTTGGCTCGCCACCCGCTGGGGCCTTTGCACAAATCTTCCGCTCGTCACACGCGCGCACTGGCGCACACACATACACTCTACGCGGCTATGCACACGGGATGATACGATCTTTTGCCGCTGCAACCGCTTTTGTCCACGGCCGCGCGCGCGCCGGCGCGGGCCGCGCGGCGTGCGCCCGCCTTTGCCTTTCCAGCCGCGAAGAAGTGGCGGCATCGCGGGGCATGATGGTCGCATGAGATGAGAGGCCTAGCCGGCCAGCGAGGTGGTGACTGGCGGCGACGCGGTTTTTCGCTTGATTCGCAGGGAAATCTCGGGTTGTCACGGCGTCCGGCACGTCAGGTGTCAGATTATTTGTTCACAGAAAACTGCTTGCCGCCGACGCGTAGTACATGGCCTCGTCCTGCTTGGATTGGACCCCGAATATTGTTGGTACTACCGGTTTTCTAATTAAGCTTCACTGATTAGTAATTTAGTGTGCGGGTCTGTACTGTCTGGTCCTGTGCAAAAGTGATTAGTTGATTAATGCCAATCGTTGATTGCACCAATTACGTGGAGCTTAGCCAAGTTTATGCCACTTGCTCGTACGAGTCGAGTGTAACAGCACAGCATTCTATTCCAATTTGCATATCAAAACACAACATTCTGGCTCGAGCAAATGAATCGTCCGCATTATCGCTTTCGCTAATTCCCTCCTATGGCCACTTCCCACTTCCCACTGCTATGCTTCGTTGTAATTTGTCAACTCACTATGACTGGTACTACGGTAGGACCGTGCCAACCTCGTAGTAACAGTGTTAACACTGTACCAATATTCTTTTTTTTTTAAAAAAAAAATCTTCACTCCCCGGGATTACACATGACATGCGGCGACGACACTGGTTTGGGATCTAATGACCCGACACAATTATTAACTAATCACTTCGATAGATTATACAATCTCCCTGCCTCAGAGATTTTAAATTCGAGCAGCACTGCAGATCAGCCTGCACCCCTGCACAGTCACAAGGCGGCACGTCCAGAAAAACAATTCCACATTCTGTAGCATCACGAGACCAACGGGGGGCCGAACACACGTCAAACGCATCCGGTACACCCCCAAAACGGGCGTGGGCCCCGCCCCTCATTAAGGATCAGTTCCACTCGCAACACCGCCACCCTCCCTCTCCCACCGACCGTGGGGCCCACACCTCCCTGTCCCACCTGTCAGCCTCACGGCCCAACCCCGTAAAACCCTCCCCTATTTATACCGGGTGTTTTGGGAGTAAGCGAGAGATTGATTACGCATTATCACAGCGTGTTGTGTGTGTGCGCGCAAGCGTGGCGTTGCTCTCCTCCCGTTCCGTTTTGCGAGGCGAGGCGAGCGCGGAGATCCGCGGCGAAACGGCCAAGGCGAGGCAAGGACTCCCTCGGTTTACTACTCGTGGGTGTGTGATATTATTGCGCGGTATCTATCTCCCTCTCCTCTCTCTCGGCCTCTCTCCATTACTCGCCGCGTGCAATGGCGAGGCAGTGGTGGTAGTAGGCTGGTAGTGGTAGCGAAGACAGTGGAGTGGGCGGGCGAGTGCGGCGTCCGCGGGTGTGCTATTGCGGAATTGCTGCGCTCCGGTTGTGTCTGGTTTCCATGCGGCTGTGGTTGGGGCCGTGAGATCCGCAGCGATGTCGCGGGCGCTGTACCGGGGGGCGTCGGGGATCGGCGGCAAGCCGGTGGCGGGGTATGACGCGGCCGACGAGGCGCGGTACGACCCCAAGGAGCCCAGCGAGAACGGCATTGGCGGCGCCGGCGGGAGGGGGAGGAAGCGGCACCTCGCGGTGGC